GCACCAGAGCTATTGGAGCTCACTGCTAATGCGTCATGTAGACGTTTCTCATACTCCTGGTGTTTCCCTTGATGCATTTCTTCTTTAGTAAAGCTAGCCTCTGGATCACCCAACTCATGAAGATACATACAATCGCCTTTGGGGCACACTTGATTTTTCATAAAATGGCTGCAATACTTCGTAGTTCCCAAACTGGTTTTTATAAGTCTACCATCTATTATAATATTACGAGTATTGACACTTTGTATGGCTCTCAGAGCGTCATGATTATTCACATAGGTGACGTAGGCCGATGCGGATGGCCCCTGCACTCCGGCATAGGCAGTGCTGGGATTTATCACAACTTTATGTATCTTGCCGTATTTACCGAAGTACTCATGTTTCTTGAGCACCTCGGCATCTGCCAGTCGTGGCGGTAGGCCGACCACAAATACTAAATTCCTTTGAACCACTCTCACATTCGATAAATGTTTGCGATTCTCTGTTACGCGAACCTTCTGCTTACGCTTTTGGTCGCGTTGCTTTTTCTGTGACTTGAAGGCCAGAATCTGCTCCTGAGTCAGGGGCGTGAAATCCGCAGGATTTTCAGTATACTCCTTACGGCATGCTGGACACAGTTTATTCTCGTCGGTGCGTATCCTGTGCCAACAGAATCGGCAAATTTGGTAGCCACAGGTGCATGGAAAGAAGTTCAGATCATCGACCTCCAAGGGCTCCATACAAAGCGGGCATTCAACTACGTCTTCGTTGTTATCCATATCGTTTTTACAACAAACCTTTAACTGTCTAAAATCAGGCAAAGCAGACACGGATGCTCCAGTTACGTAGGTGAATTATTGGTTTTGAGTTCAAGCCTTTCTTCTGTCACAGGGTCAGGAGCTGTGTAAATAGAAAAATAAGATTTTATGAATTTGGGTAATATATATATAATATATGTTTACATAATTCTAAATATACAGATGTATAGTATATGCACACACAAATGCAGACATCTTTCAACAGATGTACTTTGCTTGAGAAACGAAATCGTCTGCATGATTAAGTGCGTATCTCACACGAATAGTGTTTTTTAAAGACTTTTGTACTAAGCTTATAGCTCAGTTATGCATACTTAGCGTTGCATGCGAGTTGTCACATAAGGAATCTGTTAAATGGGCTTTGCGTGTAAGCGGTTACCCAACGCATAGCACTTCATACATAGAATTCTGTTGGGTTTTGATTTTTACGTAAAAATGTTATAGCAGTGCAAAGTATGCATAACTGGGCTATTACACAAGTACATATGAGTATATATGTATGTACATCCATAGTTGAATATAGCATACATGCATACATACATACAGATGTATCTATGTACATAGACACATGGCAATATAAAAAACAAATGCTTAGAGATGTTTACTAAGCATAGATATTTACACAGCAGAGAAAGTAATAGGTACAACTATAGTAGAATAATAGCCGTCATCGATTCGCCACTTCTCGCTCGCTATGTTTGAGTTCCGGTCACTTAAAGAAGTTAGCTAGCACGGATAGACGATTTTGCGAATTTGGTTGTACCTCATTGAGTTCGTTCGTTTCGCCACTCGCTAACTGTTGGCGAATCGATGACGGCTAATGGTATTTTTTCGCGATTCTTCCCACCCTCCCCCCGATGTGCAAGTACGCACATACATACTAAGCACTCACTTATTCTCAAAACTTCCTCTGAAATAATTTTAATAATTGTATCTAATATACGCTTTTAACACATAAACTGCGGCCCTAAATGTGCACACATGCACACATTGGTTACAACTGCACTTCGATACGAGCAACGCGACCTCCAGAGAGAATTACCACCGAGTTTCACAATAACTTTAAAAATCAAAACAGGAATCCATACTGCTGCCTGCGAACCGTCCAGTCTGTCATTTAAACATGACATACGCGAAGAGGAACACAAAATAGCCGAAATGGAAAAGGATTTCGCTTTGTGTCATCGCGCCAGTTGAGAGTTGGTATTCCGGTAAAAACAGTCGTATGAAGATTTGGAATAGTACTCATTTGAGTGTGTACCGCCGTGAATGAAACGCCTTTATTTATATTTCAGTGTGATTGTGTCTAATTTGAAGGGAAAAAAATAAAGAAATATACGTTCAGGCGCAACCAAACTTTATAAACCCAACGCAGGTATCAAATATCGCGTTTTCCCTTTCGGTTAACTGCATGATAATCCAGGGCGTTTTTCCCCGCTTTCAGACATTTTCGATAATATGCTAAATTAGACTTCATGAAATAATTGAACCGCGTTTGGTAGAAATCGATAACTCGCTTTCCGATATACACTTATGTGTGATAATCCCACGATGCAGAAAATGAAGGTGGCGCCATTCGCGGACCGCTAACCCTCTTCGTCGAGTTGACAGCATCCACTCATTCGCTGACGTCACACAATACTTTTGTTTACATTCGCTGTTGCCACCTTGTGATTTTCGCACCAAATTTAGTGGGTATTCAAAACGCGAAAATTTTTGAGTTTAGTGCTTGGTGCGTTTTTGGTGCTTTTGTTTTTAGTTTGAACACACAAAATCTTAAAAAATGGAAGCAAAATTTATATCAATCGTAACTGTGATAAGCAACTTTACAAAAATTTAAAGAAAATCATGGCACAGTGACAATCATAACCGACAACAAAATATGTGGCAGCACCGTCAATCATGCCAGAAGAAATCGACCGTCGTGCAAGAAACATTGATTTTTGTTAATTTGAATCGGCATCGTTACAATAAAGTTATGTAAATATGTATATAAAGTCCATAAAATACACCAATAAAAATTTGGTGCTTTTTCAAATTCAAAGCTTGGCAATACTGCCTTTTGTTTGATGCTTCCTCTTTTTCTTGTCGAGTTGTCGAGTCTTGCTCTCTCATTCTGGTATTTGTTGACGTCACGCCTGGTTGCTCTCAGCTCGATTGGCGCAATCTTGTATTCTATCATTCTTGTGGTAATCCCATTTATAGCTTAGGGAATATTGCAAACATCGATTTTGAGTGAAGCAGCATTGGTGGTTACTGTCTTATCGCAGTTTTCATATCTCTGTAAATTTTCGTTATATGGGAGGTGGGTGGGATATTGTCCGATTTCCAAAATTTTCAAGAGGTATTTTCATCTTAGTGAGACTCTAAGCAATGTTCGTACCGAGTTTGGTGGTTAGTAAAGCTGCTACTTAGATACAGCACTCCAACACAAGTGGGCGATGCCACGCCCATTTTCCATAACTGGTATCATTGTCTCATTTTATACCAAATCTTACTTCACAATCCAACTTTCAGCAATTTGGAACCAGTATATGCGGATATACCGCTTTTATAATTTTTCGAAAATTCCGTTATATGGGAGGGGGAGTGGTTATTGTCCGATTTCGCCCATTTTCAATACCAACCTAGCTGGGATAAAGCGAAGTCTATGTACCAAATTTCTTGAGATATCGAGTTATCGTGATCACGGACGGATGGACAGACAGACTGGCTTAATCGATTTCCGTTTTCATATATACATATGTGCATACATACATATACATACATACATAGGTACATTAAACTGCATCACCAAAAAAAAGTTGCTGTCTTTCCGCCGGAATGACAAAGTGTATTATTTTTGAAGATGTCCACCAAAATATTTCAGAAAAATATTAAGATTTACGTGAGCTGGACCGATTTGAAAATACCTCCAAAAATCGAGTTTTTTTTTATGAATAAAATAGGTTCTTAAAGAACTTTTTGAAAAAAATCCCCTCCGATGACAGAACAGATTAAGTTCAAAAAACCTGCATAAAAATATTTAAAACTCTTTTCAACGGAATCGTAATAATGAGATTTTTGATGCAGTTTTTTTAACTTTTTTCAAAGATTGATTTACGAAAAAATTTAATAACTGGGCCAAAACTATTCTGATTTAGACTTATGGGGCCTCAGTAGAAAGGTATTTTCGCACTCGTTTTATTTCTGTGCAAATGATTCACTTCCAATTTTTTTTTTTCAAATACCAACACATCTTGATTCAACTTGGAATGACGCTCGTTCATCCTACCTTTCTCTTTCATCCTTTGAATGAGTTTATTAGCAAAGAAATAAAATGATATCTCATAAGTCTAAATCGGAATAGTTTAGGTCCAGTTATTCAAGTTTTTCTTATACCAATCATTGAAAGAAGTTAAAAAAACAGCATCAAAAATCTCATTATTAGGATTCCGTTGAACATTTTACATTTTTTTTATATCTTTATGCAAATTTTTTAAACTTAAACCGTTTTGTCATTTGAAGGTATTTTTTTCAAAAAAAAATCTTTAAGAAACTATTTTTATTAATAAAAAACTTCATTTTTGGAGATATTTTCAAGTCGGTCCAGCTCACGTAAATCTTAATACTTTTCCGTAATATTTTGGTGGAAGTCTTAAAATATAATAGATTTTATAATTCCAATGGAAAAAGTACCGATTTTTTTTTGTATGGGGAGTGATGTAGTCTAATGTACATATGTATGCCTATATCTAAATTTTCTCCTTTAGACTTTCACATACAACCGTTATCCGAACTATGTTATAATACCCATGTGCACAAGTGCGCTCAGGTATAAAAAATTAAACGCAACTAGCACAATATTGCACAAGAGCAGCAGCAACCCGTTTCACCACTTCACTGCCCTGTAGATTCATTTTTTTCTGGTTGTTCGCTTTTTTGTTTAAACTGCGAAAGGGATGATGTGAAGGTTCACCCCTTCGCGTACCTTTAAAGTGAAAAAAACAATGCAATCTCTCAAACGAACGAAACTGATTGTGAAGTTGGGTGTTTTACTAATCGAGTTGTTTTTTACAGTTTTGTTGCACGCTTGAATTTTTTAAAGTATGCACTCTGCTGGTGCAATAGTCGCAAAAGTTAACTCACACGTCGCAGATGGGAAGAGTAACGCGAAAGGACGTTTAAAAATTTCCAAAGTAACCCAAACATACACACACGTAGTGAGGAACAGATAAATCCTTGGGATGACGTTTGAAACGTCAGACGCGCTCGTTCACTCGAGAACTAAAACGGTTGTCGATGCTTTTCATGTGAAACACCACCAACTGAACGACCGTTTTACGAAAGCAAGACGAATATGAATTTTCCGCGTGTGCGCAAATTGTATTTTAAAATGTAAAAAGAAAGCTGCAAACATGGTTTTAACCTTAAAATAATCAAATAGCCACCTAAAAACGCAGCATTGGAACCGCCAAAATATTGAAAAGGTTTACAATTACTTAACAAATAAAGTGACTTTTGTGTTATAATCAGTGTAAGGAAAAAAGTAAAAAAAAATTAAACCATTTCACGCGCCGGTATTTCAACTAATTATGCATTTTAAAATTTAGTTTAAACCTTCATCGACTTATTGGCCATTTGGTAAGTTACGGTAGGACGTACACGATCGTACCTAGCATTACTTCTTGTAATTATTATAATAAAATAATTGTTTTAAAATTGCTAATACAATCGTTGCCAGCGCTCATAAGGGTTACGCTATGTGAAATTTAAAGTTTTGCCTTGTCAACCAGCTTTCCTTGTGTTAGAGGGGGTAGAAATACATGTATTTGTGGGTGTAAGCGTTTGAATGTAGTGGGAAGGCAGCAATAATGATGGTGGCAGATGTCCGCCATATTGGCGAGCATCTTACTTTTGGTTCGATGTGTACGTTATTGCCATTCGTGAACGAGGCTTTCTGCACAAATATAAAGTAGCAAAAATGTTAAAATAGTGAAAAAATGGCCGAGCGCAACTTTAAAGTTGGTCAAAAAGTTCAAATTGTGGGTAAAAATCTATGTGGGCAAGTGGCGTACGTGGGCTCGACTAGCTTCTCACCTGGAAAGTGGATAGGCGTGGTGCTGGACGAAAAGGACAAAGGAAAAAATAATGGCAGTGTCAGGGGCATCACCTACTTCAAATGTGCACCGAATTGTGGACTCTTTGTGCGGCCAGCACAAGTAAATTTAGTGTTAGCTAAGGAAACCGAAGAAATGGCAGAGTCATCAGTACCACAAGAGGCTAGGCAAGGCAGCGGTATGAAATCGCACAACAGTGAGAAAATTTCCACAGCAGCACCAGTGGCAAATACTGCAGCGCTTAATCAAAAACCACCAAACGGTGGCACTTCTATCGTTAAGGCACCCTCAGACCAGCCTTTATTGCAAAGCTCAGCTAACGGCAGCACAGCAGGCACTTCAAATGGCAGTATGCTGAAAGCAACCAAAATCAATAAGCCTTTGCAGGCAAATCGGCGTATTGTCTCTTCCAACACCCAGCTGGAGTTGTCGTTTTCAAGCACAACAGTGTCTGTAGCTGCACCTAAACGCAGTAAAACTACAGTCAGCCCTTCGGAATCCTTTTCTTGTGCTCGTCAGCGTTCTGCGTTTGTGGAAACGGGTTTCCTGGAGATACTTCATACGCAATTCACTCCAGGCCACCCACTACGTTCCCCGACTGTGTTCAGCATCCACAGTGGTCTGGCCAGTGGTGTCGCAATCAGTCCAACAGAGCAACTGCTTCAACAGAAACAATTACAACAAAGATGCAAGGACTTAGAGACGCGTAATGGGGAGCTAAGTGCAGAGCTGGAAGATTTAAAAAGTCAGCGCGCGGAGGACAAAAGGCGTTTGCATGAGTTGGAAAGGGTCCGCTTGCAAAAGGACCAGTTAAGTGAGTTCAAAACACAGATTATGGAGCAGCATAGCTTGGTGCAACGAGAATTACAACGCTGTCGGCAAGAGCTGAGGGAAGCCAATGACTGCAAAACTAAATATAAGCGTGAACTAGACGAGGTAGCCGAAAGTATTGAACTACTAACACTGGACAAAGAAATGGCGGAAGAACGTGCAGAAACATTGCAAATAGAGTTGGAAACGGCAAATGAGCGCAATGAAGAGCTCAGTCTCGACGTCGAAATTTTGAGAGCTGAAATTGAAAATTCTACATCAACCCTGCTTGGCGACCGCCCAGATAATGAGTTGAAAGACGAACTTATACAACCAACAGCTGCGGAAATTAGGCGGCTTGAGCAGTATAACCAACGACTGCGAGAAACCGTTGTTCGGCTGCGCGATGTGTTGACAAACGAAAAGCAAGATCTACAAAAGACCCACAAGGAACTAGAAACAAAATCTTCTGAAATTTCCGAACTAAAAAAAACAAAGGAAATACTTTCAAGGCGCATTGATGTCATGGAAATGCATATTATAGAACTAAAAGAACAAGTCGACGCAGCACTGGGCGCAGAATCAATGGTTTCATCCCTGGTAGAGGCCAAGATCGATTTGGAGGAACGTGTGAAGTTATTGGAAGAAGAAGTTATGGAGCTAGAAGCGCTGGAGGAGATCCATGAACAAATAATCGAAGGCAATCAGGAATTGGAAATGGATTTGAGGGAAGAAATCGATGCCCTCAATTCAACTATAAAAATGTTACAGCAGGAGAAGAACAATACACTGGAAGAGATATACGACCGCGAAGTGACTATTACGAAATTCCGAGATCTCGTCAAAACATTGAATAATAACGTGCTGCTAAAAGATCAGCCCACAAATGCTTTGGGCGCAGGTACGGGCACATCCACTTCAGATGATCTCAGTACTCTCTCAAATCCGGACGAAACACAGAGTATCGACTTTAATCAAATGTTTTATTTAACAAAGGCTTTCAAACGAGCTATCGATTTGCAGTTGAATGAAATTGAATTAAAACTATGCAAGGCTCACGTTGACCACCTTTTGGCGTTCGTGCCTGAGGATATCCTACTTCGGGGCAGCGAGCATGACATCATATTAGTGCTACTACTGCTGCAGCGTATGTACGAAAAGTTGGAAATAATTTGCCACACGATCGATGAAAAGTTTTCAACCTCGTGTGAATTCGCTAAAAACGCAATATTTGAGGGATTTTCCGTGCACCGGTTCGCCTTTCGTTGCAAATGTCTTTTTGTGTTGCGAAGTCTTAAATTGGTGATAAAACAGCTAATATTTGGGTTAAATCATTGCGATTACGAGGTATGCACGCATGCAGCTATTTATCGAGGAGAAATGGAGTCGCAAGAGAAGTCTATCGACGAGTTGATTAATCGCTTGAAAGGCGATATGCTTGACGAAAACACACCAATGGAAACAGTTGAGCGCACTCTATCGTTTTTCAGTGCACTGTACACGAATCTTATTTGCTCGCATAACATCGCTGAATTGGCTGATGAGCATCAGCTTTACGTGATGTTGGTGGAAGTACTCGAAGTATGCTTGGACTGCATCAATACGAATGCTGGAATACTGCACACTTTAATACAGTTGGGCGATGAAAACACGGAGTCCTTCTGGGCCATGCAGTTTCTGATGGAAAACGTGACCCAATTCAAGCTTAAGCTGAGGAAGCTACAGCGCAAGCTTCCTTCTACTCCGGTTGACATTTCTGGCATGCAAAAGCCGCAGACTGAGCGTATACAACGCATTCTGTGCACCAACGATCAGTTCGGGCGTTTTATTAATATTTTAACAGCAACGACAAAGGATGCAACCAAGGACATAGCTGCATCCTCTTTCGCCAACAAAGAAGACTTTCCGTGCGATGGAGCAATCGAGCATAAAAAGCTTTGGAAAATCATTACAGCGAACTGTTCGAAATCCGCCGCCGAAGAAAAGGGGACGACTCCAGTCGCTCTATTCCATCAGTGCATTCAGGTATTGGACGAACAAATAAATGATCTCTCCAACTTCATCTCGGAAAACGAATCTGTGCGCAGTGCAAATAAAAACACAATGTTTGTACGCTCCTCGGCCACCACTCTGTTACTGCGATCAATGCAATTTAAACAACATTCTGATGACATAAAAACGTTGAAGCACATATTAGTTGAACGTGATAAAGAAATCAAAACGCAGAAGTACTTGGCGAAGATTAAGCAGAATGAATTCTCTGAAATGCAAGTACGCAAGGAGATTGCAGAGCATAACTTGTCAAAGGCTCAACGCAATCAGGAGGAGACTCTGACCAAAATCATCGAGCAAATTGAAAATTTAGATAAAAGTATGTGCCATCGTGAAAATGTTGTCGGACAGTCATTAAATAATTTGCAGGAGAAAATTTCAACAATGGAACTGAACTATGCGCGTCTTGAACAAAATCTTGTCTCCCGCAAGCAGGTAATCAATCTGACTGCAGATGAAAGCTATCGCGAAATTGATACCCTCAACAAATGCTTACGTTACGAAAGAGCAGAACGAATCAAACTTCACATCAATGAAATGAAGATGCGCATGCGCAGTTTTGATCCTCTACACGTGCCACAAAATAAACAGGTTCCAAATGTAGCAGAACTAAGACTCACCAACGAGTTGCGAATGCTGAAAAATCAATGGATACTTTCACATATCAAATTAAAACCAAATGTTGAAACCGAGCGATGCGCCCTCAAACGTAAATCAAATGAACTACTCCAACGAGCCTTGAGCACATACTTCCTGACCCATCCGCACCGCAGCACACCCAGCCATTTTGGCTCTTTCGGCTCGAAGGACTTAAATCAAATATTCAATTGAAAGCTTTAATAATAGAAACAGTCGATTTGTTTTTATTTGCTTTAACAAAAGAAAAAAAACATGCATAAATATAGTTATGCAGTTTAGATACAAATACGCATTCACTGGTGGCAGAAATAATAGAAAGACCTTAAGTATTTTGACCAGTTTTGGTGATAAACATTTCCTTTGTCGATTAAATGTTTAATATATAAAAAAGATTTAGCTCATTATATAATTAACTGCATATAAATACAAAAATTATAAAAATTCAACGGTCTTTTACCAAAATTTCAAACCTTTTATTTTTTTAGAAATTCTAGGTATGCAGTTTTGTAGACCAATAAATTCTGGTATGATAAAATGCAAGTTGCAAGTGCCTAGAAAATGCCGTTCATTTTTGATAATATCTTTGGCTGACCATGTGGTGCATTTTTTCCAGGGAGAAAAAATTATGAGTTTTATCAAAAAAATTTACTTTTAACCATTATTTTGAGATTTTAATACTTGCGATCAATCATAGTAATCACATTTTGAGTTTTATGGTATTGCTCAGAAAACGCAATCTTTTATTGGGATACATTTTTTTGATCAAAAATAAAACCCATTTTTTCGTGATACTTTTTTGCTCTGAAGTAATAATTATTTTGTGAGTTGTTTTCTTTTTGATCAAAAATAATCATTATATTACGAGTTTTATATTTTTGATCAGAAATAATCATTATTTTTTGAGTTTTCTTTTGTTTTATCAAAAATAATGATTATTCTTTGAGTTTTATTATTTTGATCGAAAATAAAACTCATTTCTTGAGCGTTATTTTTTCTCTCAGAAATAAAAATTAACTTTTGAGTTTTATTTTTTTTTGGCAGATGGAAAAACTCAAACCCCGTAATTTCACCTAAACTCAACTCACCACACCTCAACTCACTCACCTCAACTTATCCTTACTCACCTCACCTCAACTCACCACACCTCAATTCACCCCAACTCAACTCATCTACCTTACCTCAAGTCACCTCAACTCACGTCATTTCAGTTCAGTGAAGCAAATCACAAATACATTTTATTTCTGAACTGATCAGCGCGTATTTTCAAGCAGAGCACAGAAGAAAATATACATAAATAGTGTTGCCGCGAATTCTTTTTAGTGGTAGCCAAATTCCTTTAAAAAAGGGCTAAAAAAGTCGTTGAGGCTAAAAATGGTAGCTAATTTGTTTTACTTGCATATACATATATAAGTATACACGCAAACATTTTCAATAAGTAAAGGTATAGAAAAACAATGAACTCTGGAAAAAAAACTAATATTTTATTCAACCAAAAACCTTTTTGAATAAAAGGGGAAATATACGACACCAGCTTACTGGCTCCATCAAGTGATTGTACCATCAAGCTCGAAGCACATAACTTACCAGCATTCTGGTACAATATTTATTTCTTTACAAATGAGGTCGAGGAAAGATCGAAATGATTAGAGCCGAAATTTCATAATTTTTCTACCATTTTGTTAAACATTGTTTTTTTTTTTTTAATTCACAACTGCAATATCGTGAACTTAATCTTCCACAAACACGCCTTTGACTCATATAGTGCAAGAAATTTCCGCCAAAATACTTTTTACTTTCACCACTCACGACACCAGCATGCTGGTAGAATCATAAAATTTTCAAATAGTTTTTAAAGTCGCACCAGCAGCTGGTACAATCACACCACAAGAACACACACGGGCAATCAACTTGATGGGCCATTTAACAACTTAAAAATATTAAGGGCCGGAAACTTATCTATTTTAAACTATAGTTAAATCGTTAATAGATAAGTTAACAGCCCTAACACTTTTACAGTATGTATATATAAAAATGTAAGGAACATACAATCCATATATGTATATATATCAGTCTTTCTAAGTTTAAAAATTCATTTCTTACATATATGAAAAAAAATTATGGTTTATAAAACTAAAACCTCCCTATTATAATTGCTATTCGTACTGTCATCAGGTACTTGAGAATAAAAATCGCTGCATCTTTTAGGCGCATCAATATTACATAGTTACATCCCGAGCTAATAAAAGGAAGGTAAAAAGAGATCAAATTAAGCATATACAACATTTTCATGAAAACCCCATAAATAAAGTAAATCAGAAAAACGTATGCAACTTCGAAGTTAACGCTAAGAAAATTGATAACAGCCGGTTTCACCAGCAGTTTAAATGGAAAATGAATTGTTATTTTCTGTAAATTTCTATATAAAATTCAAAAAATTAAAATCATTTTTCACTTAAATTGCTTTCATGAAATTGGCTGTAAAAGTTATTTTATTAGCGTTATCGCGCATTACCAGCGTTAACTTGGAAGGTTTAGAAAAAACATTGTTCCGTTTTCCACCCGTTTTCATGTGACCCGAAAAGTAAACCTACTGAGATGAGAAATTAGGCTTTTGAAAAGCTTTTGGACATCAGTGAAGACAGCACTTTGAATATTAAATACTACGNCACACGGGCAATCAACTTGATGGGCCATTTAACAACTTAAAAATATTAAGGGCCGGAAACTTATCTATTTTAAACTATAGTTAAATCGTTAATAGATAAGTTAACAGCCCTAACACTTTTACAGTATGTATATATAAAAATGTAAGGAACATACAATCCATATATGTATATATATCAGTCTTTCTAAGTTTAAAAATTCATTTCTTACATATATGAAAAAAAATTATGGTTTATAAAACTAAAACCTCCCTATTATAATTGCTATTCGTACTGTCATCAGGTACTTGAGAATAAAAATCGCTGCATCTTTTAGGCGCATCAATATTACATAGTTACATCCCGAGCTAATAAAAGGAAGGTAAAAAGAGATCAAATTAAGCATATACAACATTTTCATGAAAACCCCATAAATAAAGTAAATCAGAAAAACGTATGCAACTTCGAAGTTAACGCTAAGAAAATTGATAACAGCCGGTTTCACCAGCAGTTTAAATGGAAAATGAATTGTTATTTTCTGTAAATTTCTATATAAAATTCAAAAAATTAAAATCATTTTTCACTTAAATTGCTTTCATGAAATTGGCTGTAAAAGTTATTTTATTAGCGTTATCGCGCATTACCAGCGTTAACTTGGAAGGTTTAGAAAAAACATTGTTCCGTTTTCCACCCGTTTTCATGTGACCCGAAAAGTAAACCTACTGAGATGAGAAATTAGGCTTTTGAAAAGCTTTTGGACATCAGTGAAGACAGCACTTTGAATATTAAATACTACGAAGAGAGTTCTGGATGCAAGTGTATGCAGAAACCACTGCTGTTGACAAGATTGCATTAAAAATACTAGTGACTTTTACTTTTACATTCCATTACAATGATCGGATTAAAACCAAATTAGAATTGGAGCACCTGTGAGGTAACACCTTTCCTTTAACAAATTATGGTAATCGGTTAACGTGGTCCAAAGTTATGAGATAACATACATAAAAAAAATTAATAATAAAAATATATTCCGACGAATTGATAACCTTCTTTTTGTGAAGTCGATTAAAAACAAATACTCCAGCAAGCTTTCAGCGTCAAATGATTTCAGGGTAAAATTGTCAAAGCTCCCAATAAACTTAAAGGAAATAATGAAATCATCAAAACAGTTTCAGTCCTCACATTGAAGCTAAAGGAGTATAAAGTTTGCATTGTGTTTTCTTGTTTTCGTAGACATTTGAAGAGTAGGGGTGCCGCGAATTTTTTTTTAGCACAACAAGGGTGCCGCGGTGAAAAAAGTTTGGGAACCCTTGTTTTAAGCAACCTAACAGAATTCCTCAATCGAAAGCAAAGGCTCGGATTCATTAAAAAATGCGAAACTAAGGCTGTGTGCGAGTTTACCTAAATTTTAGTACCTAAACTAATATTCCACTGGGAATTTCCAGCACTGCTACAATTTAGGAAAACAGCTGCTAAAACTGTGCAAGCTCGTTCGACTACCTAAATTGTTTGTTTTGGAATTGTTGCTTTTAATAAATATATCTATAAAATGAATAATTTTGCGGTAGCTTTGGGACTATTTAACAATATAACAAATTTGCAACAGAAAAGGAGAATGTTCCATCCTGGCATTTATAAAAGAATCCGTTTGCTCTTCTGACCCTGCGAAATAATATGCATCCATCGAATTACACATACACTTATCTGAATGCAAAAAATTTATACTTACATCTTTCTGAATATTTTCTTTTTTGTGCCATAGCAATGATACAAATTATTTAAAACATCAAAAAATCATTGTTCACTTAATCGCTCGCTCAAATATATTTGACTGTTCAATTTAGGTTGAAAAGTAAGCTCAAATATGTACGACAAATTGACTCGCAAATATTTGAACCTCTACCCGCTAGCGTTCCGAGTGAGTAAATGCTCTATATGTACATACACCTATGCATGGGCGTAGCCAGGTAGGGGCAGGGGGTGCTCGAGCCCCCCCCCCTAACTTTCAAAATTTCCTTATATATATTTAAATAGTACCCTGAAATGCCAGCTTAATAGGGTCGAGCCCCCCCCCCCCTCTAAATTTCATTCTGGCTACGCCGATGCACCTATGTATGAACGAGCCTCTAAGAAATCGCATCATAGACGAAAAGGCGGCAAAATTAATTTTTCCGAAATATAATAAATATGCTCTTTTGAACTTTGACTGTTACATTAAAACGCAAATTAGCATTCTCAGATGTGAAATATATGACCTTCATAGCATCCCTGATATATTGTATGTATGTACAATGTACAATGTGCGCTGTACATTAGGGCGGTCCAAAACCAGTAAAGTCGGAATTTTAATGTTCTCACGCCCTAGGATTATCGAAAAAAATATACCCTTTTTTACCTTCCTCTTATTAGCTCGGGATGTAACTATGTAATATTGATGCGCCTAAAAGATGCAGCGATTTCTATTCTCCAGTTTCACACCTGATGGCATTACGAATGGCAATTATAATAGGGAGGTTTTAGTTTTTTAAACTATAATTTTATTTTATTTTGAAATCAAAAAATATTTAGAGGTTGCTCAAAGCGCTCAAAGTTTTCCATGTAGTATTTGATATGGGGAAAAAACAACTTTTCATAGAAATGGTATGGAATTCTTGAAAATCAATATTTTTCGATCAGAAAACTGTGATTCTCTTCAGGAGACTCCCAATAATAATATTTGTTTATTTAACCATTTTAATACCAAAGATTTTTTATTTTTTTCCGCCATTGCATTTTCCGACATTTTCTGGGGGTTTTGGCGAACC